GGGATTTAAGAGGTCTCTTCAGAGGGACAGGAGTTTGGCAGATCCTTGCTGAGAGCTCTGTCCTGCCCTGGCTGTTCCTCACTCCTGCTCCCTGCTCGGGGCTGGCACGTACAGACCCCACCTCCAGCATCCCCAGCGACTGCACGGGGCTGGGGCACCACGGATTGTCAGGAGCGCTGTGAGGTGTGGGGCTCTGCTCCCCCTGTCCCACACCAGGCATTTCTCCACCTCTCTGCCCCAGCCCACGTGCACAGGACTGGGGCAGCCCTCCAGCCTCCCCTCGGCTTGTCCTTCCTCTGCCTCACAGCAAATCAGTCCCAGAAAGTCTCCAGCACCAGGATAACAAAAATCCTTTTCTCTGAAGATCTGCAGCCCACGATCAAGGCAATTAGGAACACGTGGTTTTAAAGCAGAGCAAGTAGCAGGGAAATGGCCCCGTTGTTTCTGATGAAGATGGCTCAAAAGTCTGCATCACTTTTCTTTTCAAACTCCAGCTTGGTTGTTTTTTCCCTCCCAAAGAATCTTCAGCTTTGTCTATCCTGAAACATCCTTTGGCAAGTGGAAAGATTAAAAGACAACATAAAAGAATAGATGCTGAGCTATAGAGAAGGGGAAGCGACTTTTAGGCCATTTGACATTTACCCTCTCCTCCTCTCACCCATCAAGGTTCTGCAGGGCTCTCTAGACATGCCAGGGCAAAGCCAGCAACAACCTGGCTCAAGAGGCAGAAAAATAGGACAGGACCCACATTTCTGAAAACCCTTTGTAGGCTTTATTTAAAAGGAGATAAGGATGAAAAAAGGTGACAAGATGCTTGACAGATATAAAATGATGAGCGTTCAGCTTATCTCCCTATCCTCAGCATCTTCTGCTCTTTACATCTTCTTTCTGTCTTTATTTTTGTGACAACAAGTGTGGGAAAATCAGGGAAACATCAGGGAAAATGTAAAGGCACAAGCACCAGGGATGTAGCACCAAGAAGGGAGGACAAGGAAGAAGATGCTCAGCAAGGGCTAAAAAAGCCTCTTTCCTAGCAGAGGCTGAGCACGCTGGCTCTGGTCCAACAAAGCACTTAAGCATGTGCCTAAATTAAATTTGCCTTTACTGAGGCTCTTCGCAGGCTTCAGCACATTCTCCAGCAATCTGCTACAGCATGGCCAGGGAAAACGAGGAGCTGTTAAGGGACCTGAATCTCAGTCAGCAGCCAGGTTAGTGAGCGCTGGGAGAGAACATCAGCCAAGATTAATGCAACATGGCAATTCCACTGACACGAAAGCCCTTAGCCACCAGAAAAACCTTCTTAAACATAAAATAATAAATAAAAAAGTTCAGATATTAAGATGATCAGTATCAATTTCTCTTTAGTTTCTTTCAGCTCAAGGTAGGTAGAGCCTGATGCAGACACATTTACAGGTACCTGCAGAACTGGAACTCCCCTGTTGCAGGGCATGTCAGTGCCAGCTTGAAAAAACACATTGCACCCACCGTGCTGTTCCTTGGTGTAGCAAACACTGTCCTGTAGGAAAAGCACCCACCTCAGAGGCTGAATGGCCAATTCCCACCAACACCAAGGTAAGCCACCAAGAGCTCCCACAGCCCTGGCAATGCTCTGCAGAGCACCTACAGGGGAGCAGGAGTGCATCCCCTGCAGGGTTGGGTGCCACAGCTCGGGGCTGCTCCCCTGCTCACACCCACCCTGCAGCCCACGGGGCTCAGGGCTCTGCCCCGGTCAGGGTCTGCCCAGGGCCGGGGGGCACGGGCAGAGCCCTCCTGCTCTGTGCCGTGCTCCATGTCCTTGTCCCTCCTGCTCCGTGCCCTGCTCTGTGCCCTGCTCCGTGTCCTGCTCCGTGTCCTTGTCCCTCCTGCTCTGTGCCCTGCTCCGTGCCCTGTTCCCTCCTGCTCCATGTCCTTGTCCCTCCTGCTCCGTGCCCTGCTCTGTGCCCTGCTCCATGTCCTGCTCCATGTCCTTGTCCCTCCTGCTCCGTGCCCTGGTCCCTCCTGCTCCGTGTCCTGCTCCGTGTCCTGCTCCATGCCCTTGTCCCTCCTGCTCCGTGTCCTGCTCTGTGTCCTGCTTCGTGTCCTGCTCCATGCCCTGCTCCCTCCTGCTCCATGTCCTGCTCCGTGCCCTTGTCCCTCCTGCTCCGTGCCCTGCTCTGTGCCCTGCTCCATGTCCTCTCGGCACGGACTCGGGCTCCCTCTGCCGGAGCCGCTCTGCCCCGGCCGGCACGGGCTGCAGCGGCTCTGGGCCACGGGGACACTGCGGGCACAGGGACACTGCGGGACCCTCTGCGGGCACAGGGACACTGCGGGCACAGGGACACTGTGGGACCCTCTGTGGGCACAGGGACCCTACCGGTAACCCGTAACCGGTAACCCGTAACCGGTAACCCGTACCCCGTATCCCGTATCTCGGCACGGACTCGGGCTCCCTCTGCCGGAGCCGCTCTGCCCCGGCCGGCACGGGCTGCAGCGGCTCTGGGCCACGGGGACACTGCGGGCACAGGGACACTGCGGGACCCTCTGCGGGCACAGGGACACTGCGGGACCCTCTGCGGGCACAGGGACACTGCGGGACCCTCTGCGGGCACAGGGACACTGCGGGACCCTCTGCGGGCACAGGGACACTGCGGGACCCTCTGCGGGCACAGGGACACTGCGGGACCCTCTGCGGGCACAGGGACACTGCGGGACCCTCTGCGGGCACAGGGACACTGCGGGACCCTCTGCGGGCACAGGGACACTGCGGGACCCTCTGCGGGCACAGGGACGCTCTGCACAGCGGGCACAGGGCTGGCACAGGGATGCTGTGTGGGCACAGGGACCCTTGCACAGCAGGCACAGGGCAGGTGGGTGCGGCTCAGAGCAGCCTCCTCCGAGCGCTGCTCAGCCACCTCCAGCAGCACCTGCTCCAAGCACATTTGTTCCATGGCCAATCCCTTGTTTTATTTATTATCCCTTCCCAGCTTTCTCTGAACAGTGGCTCAGGACACAGGCTGCCGGCTGGCGGGGATCACCCGAGCACCTCGCGGGGCGCTGCCAGAGTTTGGACAAGCACAGAGTGACACGGCTTTGTTTCCACAGCTCATTCCTGAAGCACCAACAGGCACCAGCCTGGGGGCCAACGGTCCCCTCCCAGGTGACACACGCTGACAGAGCCACCAGGCAGCTCCCATGGCAGTTTTTATTCCCACATTGGTTGTGGGAACAGCAGCGGAGCTCGAGCCACCAGGCAGCTCCCATGGCAGTTTTTATTCCACACCGCCCTTACGTGGTTGTGGGAACAGCAGCGGAGCTCTGAGGTGTCCAGAGTGCAGCTCCTGGGGGAGAACAGGCACAGTGAACCCTTCTCTTTAAAGCAGCATCCAGCTCTGTCTGAGGCTCCTGCCAGCACAGCTCCCAGCCAGGGTGGGACGCTCTCACCTGTACAGCTTGCAAAGCAAACCAGACGATTTCACGGTTTTAAAATCATTACTTGGAGTAAGAAGGTTCAGGGAGGTCCCAAACATGCACCAACCACAACCTCCCAAGGAGGGCATGGCCACTCTGAAAAAGAGACAATCAAGCAGCCCACTGTAATTAACACGTTGTTCCAATGCCCATTTACCACCTCTGACACGAAGCTATTTTCAACAAACACACACACAGTATTAGTCCCACTGTCTTCACAGACGCCCCAGGAGCCAGCAGCGTTCATTCCAGCCCAGAAACCAGCAGCAAGTTTCACAAAGCATCACAAGGGCATTCCCAGTTTCATTCCCAGCCCAGAAGAACCTTGTTTCAGCCCATCACTGCGTGAACGCACCAGGACCTTCCAGCAACCTGAGACACTTCACTCTGGGAAAAGGCCAGCATTCCACAGCCTTGTTTTTACCAGACTGGGAGGAAAGCTCAGCTTGTTGCAGGGCACGTTGCAGGCAGATACTCTTCACTATCTGAGGAAAACACTGAAAATTTCAGGTTGTGAAATACGGCTTGACCTTGACACACAGTGCAACATGCAGCTGTGGAGGGATTCCATTTCCTCGGGACTCCAGCACAGCAAAGCCACGGCCCTGGCAGCACCGGGCTCCAGGAACCCCTGGGCCTCACCTGATGCTCCCAGCGGCCAAGTCTGGGGCTTAAACCAAAACTACAGATGCTCCTTGGCACAGCAGCAGCAGCTGGACAGAGACAATTGCCTTTCACCACCGGTTTACATTCTGTCAGCTAAACGTGATCTGTAGGAAGATACTTCCAACAAATCAAGAATTCCATAAGGGATCAAAATTCTAAACATAAATACAATTAAAGCCTTCTAATATTAATGCACACTTTTTATTATATTAAAATCAGGCAATGGTCTGATACAATAAAAAGGCTGCTTATGGAATACTGTTATGTTAAACTTTCAGTACAGAGGATGTTAAATCCTTACAACTAATATTTTCCTCAGAAGTTAATGGAAACATCAATTGTTCATTGACTTGACAGCTGCTGCTTTAAAATGTGTTTATTTGCTCCATGTCCTGCTCCATGTCCTTGTCCCTCCTGCTCCGTGCCCTGGTCCCACGCTGGGATGAGCCACACACACCACTGGTGTCTCAGAGCGGCTGAAGACACAGCCTGGCTTCAGAATTGTTACTGTAATGATAGTGGGAGAAACTGAAATTTCAAACCGAAAGCACTGCACGGGGTGGTAAGAGAGCAGAAAGGGCACATTTAAGCACATACTCCCTACACAGAGAGCACGCAGCTTAATTCCACCACACCAAGAAGCAAACGGCCGTTAGTCTTTATTAACAATTCCCTCTCACAGAGGAGCTGGCGCTCCCCCAGCGAGCGAACGCCCGCACAGCGGCACAGCCCCGCATGCACACACAGACACACACAGACAGACACACACACACACAGACAGACACACATACACACACACATACACATACACATAGACACATACATTTTTTTTTTTTTTTTTTTTTTTTCTTTTTTTTTTTTTTTTTTTTTTTTTTTTTTTTTTTACACAAACACTGAATTTTTCATAAAACTTAGGACACACTAGGTTGGTTTCCTGTAAGCTTGCATCCACATTGCAGCAGTTAGTGGTCCGGAAGAGTAAACCAGAAAAGGCAGTGATTTGCCAGGATGCAAAGCCAATCAAAGTCCTTAATCTGCTGTGCCACCGCTTCCCCAAAATCTTCACTGAAGAGATTTCTAAGACTTACAGAACCCTAATAAAATCTACCACCCGGATTTGATTTGTCTGTGGTTGTCACATCTTTAGAAGGGGCAAACGCAAGTGCAACATTTTGTTAATTGACATTCTTGGGTCAATCCAAAGCACCAAAACACAGCGATTTGAGGGTACCTGGAGCGCGTTCAGAATCTCTCTGTGCAGAGTCTCCCCCACTGAAGTTTGGCAGCAGAAGGTTTGGGCAATCCTGGTAAATTACTGCTCTTTTCCCCACGTCAAAGCCTATCTAAGAGCACGGCCGTGGCCAGCTTGGCGGTGTGGCAGCGGTGCTGCAGGGAAGGGAAACCCACGCTTGCCAGCAGAACAGATACTCTTGTTTCCCAGGCTGGTGAAGACTAAATTTGTTGCAAAACCAAAATGATAAGCAGGAGGGAACAGGTCAAGTTATTGCCCCGATGCTCACCCCTGGGCCAGGGGTGAGAAGAGTCACCAAGAGGGGCAAAAAGAAAGCAGCACCCCCACTAAAAAGAGGGGAAGAGGGAAGAGATAAAAAGAACCCTGAATCCCTCACCCAAAGATCACGTCACTGGTGAGGGAGACCAGGAAGAGAAATACAATCTATGCCTTGGCCAAAGGAAAGAAGGAAAGCTTGCCCCAGATTATCAGGGCATTTAAAAAAATAATAAAAACCCAAAAACGACCACAGTCACATTCAGCCTTTACTAGAGCGAGCACAAAGGGAGGGATGACTGAGGTTAGCACACATCCCCAGTAGTAGTCCATACAGCCCAGTGTAGTACTGGAAGCAAAAACCTTTGTGTCTACTCTAATAAATAGCCCTGAGCTTCGACTCTATTGCAAAAGACAGAGAAAGAAAAAAATAACCCAGGCCAGACACACAGCAAGGTGATTGTGGGATGGATCCTTTCACAGTTAGGTTGGATGTGCCACACTGGTCTTGACAGTAATAAATTTAAATAGACTTTTCCTGATACCAGAAGTTCAGCTATGTGGACAGTGGTTACACGACAGGATTATTTGTTATAGCACAACTTATATTTCAAATGAAAAAAAAAAAAAATTAGTATCATTTACAGTATCTCAAGAAAAACTTCCTTTGAATGGGAACTTCCTTTCCAGTATTTTGAGGTCTACAAGATGCATCTAGAAAATTTACTACTGTGGAAAATGAAGACAGCTTAAATTGAATAAGGGGGGGCATGTTGGTTTTGTTTTTTTTTTAATTAATTGCTGTAACATTGTCCTTCAGGTGGCTGAGGAAGTTTCATATTTTCTTTAGACATCATTAGACGCCGAAGCTCTTGCAGAACAACTTTGATACTATAAGAATTCTGCCATTTTGCTAGGACTGATATGGCTCTGGGGTCCACCTAAAACAGACAAAAAAACCATTCCTGTCAGAATTGGTGCACTGGTTACACGAAACTCCCCCCACCCCCAGCTAAAGATCCCCCATGAAATCTGAGTGGGAGAAATCAACATCAAGTGTTTTCCTAAAAGCATAATAAATCTCCACTTGTCCACTTCCCTTCTACCCCCTTTCCTTCTCCAACAAAGGGCACCACAAAAAATGAGGAGCTAAGCAAGCCACAAGTATAAACAAAGCATTGGAGCTGCACAAAAAAACCCCAACATTAAAATGAATAAAAGCAAAAAACTTACCACTCCATTAGAACTATTTACTCCATTCATATTAATTTTTGTTACAAATCTTACAAATGGAGGTGCTTCTGGATACTTAGGCCCACATTCTATTTTAAGGCTGTATATTCTGTTTTCATAAATTGTCTGAGGGGAAAAGAAAGGAGGAAACAATTACATCAGGCAGTTCAATAAGCATTTGGTTAAAGCAGTGGCTACTTTAGGAACATGGCAAGTACCAAAAGCGTGGGCAGCCACGTAGATACTGTGCTGGCTCCCTGTTTTGAGGTCATTTATAATATTCAGAGTACCAAATGCTCCTCCAGGGTAATAATTCTGCCGGTCTTGGTGCAGGGAGCAGGGAACAGCCCTGAGCTCCACGCAGGGCTCTGTGGAACACCCGCACACAGGGAGCTGTGCACAGCCAGCACAGAGCACCTGCAGGTCAGCTGAAGCTCTGACAGTGCCACTGTCTTGAACAGTGCCAGCAAGGTGACTCCTGGCTGTGGGACACCGCTCACAGCCTGGCAATGCCACACCCAGACAACTCGGGGCAGCAGCACACAGGAGCTCCAGCTCTGCACAGCTGCTCCTTTTTCCCACTGGAATCCAGCACAACATCCTCCCACCTGCTGCAAGCCTGACTGCTTTCCACCCAGAGGGAAACAGGACTCAGCTTTTGTCCCCAGCCAGTATTTCCACATCCTACTAAGAACCAAAATGGGAATTACTGAATGAGCAGTGTTAAAAGGAGGACAGCAAACAGGACTGGCTGCAAGTCCCCGGGATCTCTCCCAATACAATCTGCTGCCTTCAAGCAAGAAGCTCAAAAGAAGTCACAACATACTTGGCAAGAAGATCTATACTCCTAAGTGTGTCAGAAAAGCAGGAGAGGCAGAGCTGACTCCTCTGCTGTGATGGTCCTGCAGCCTTGGTTTGCAGCACGACAAGAACTGCAAACTTCCATCACTGCTGGCAAGGCTGCACGCTCCTGTTTGCACATTTCAATTCCTATTTAATTTTCTAAATTAGATTTCAAGGTTGTTTAAATTTTCCATAAACCCTAGGCACACAGTGAGCTTTCTTCACAGCCTTAATGCAGGCTCATTAGCACTCTCCTAATGTTCTATAATCAAATGCTGTTCTAGAAAACAATTTGGGTACATCATAAACAAATGAAATGCTCGTGACTGGGGAGAGATTAGCAAAGGCAGACAAAAGTAAACAACACTTCTGGGTGAGACAGGAAACACTGCATGTATAATGCCTTCTTAACACACCCTCTTGTACAGCCTCACTGTGTGTGAGGGAACTGACAGAATGGGAACAGAGCAGGAACATGATTAAAGGTCTGTAAAGATTTTCATGTAATGACCCCTGGAATCACTGAGAAATGATCCTGAGGCCAGATGTAGAAGACATCTGCTATTGCAGGGAGGAGAATTGGCTACCTGCACTCCATCAAAGGATATTAAGGAAACAGAACAGTGAAACTGGAGACAACAGACAAGTTCTGGTTTTAGAACACAAGCACACATTCGACACACAATTAAGTCCCCAGGATCACTACTAGAGTGTAAACCCACAGTTTAGTAGGGCTGGGGGGGAAAAGAGAGCACAACAATATTCCCACAAAAACCAGCTGCATTATTAGATGCTGCTTTGGGAGAGGACATTCAGAGAAGAGACTGAAAACAGTAAAATTTGAGTTTCCTCAGTCAGCTGAAATTGTACAAGAGCTCATCAGTACTGCTGCAATAAACAGCACCCCATAAACTGAACAGGAACAGCAGAAAAACCAGCACAGAGCATCCCCTGGCACCTGAGCAGCTCCATTTGGAACCTCACCAGCTGAGGCATTCTGGACCTTGCTGGATTCAAGGGTACAGGACGTTAGAATTCTGGGATCTCAAAATTTATGTCTTACTGAATCTGCAAATATAAAGCAGACAAGTAACAGAACTAACCAGGGAAAGGCACCAAAATGTTTCAAATTATAAGCAAAAAGCCATATAGACACATGAAACCCATTATTACAAAGAACTTCAACATAAATCATTTCTTAAAGTGTTTTTTTTTTGCTCATTTGCCTTTTGTTTATTTTTGACTTCAGTGGTGAGGTTAGGAGATGGGGAAAAAATGTAACAGTACTATTTTAGTATTTAAGTGGATACTTACTCTTGGAGGCCCAATAATCATTCCTGTCCATCTCGTAAGTGTCATATCTTCATCATCTTCAAGGCCCCAGCTAACTGTTCCATCCCCTACTCCCTTCTGACCTTCTTCAAGTTCTTCCAAAAGACGAAAATTACGAGGAACTTTTACTCCTGAAACAATCAGAAGAATATATTCCGTTGAGAAATCTTGTAAAGAAGAAACAGCTAGAGTAATTTCCCTGATAGTTTTGGTCATTTTACAGATCACATTTTGGGCAAAACCATGAAAATACCACTTTTTGAGTGACAATATTTCAACGTTACAAAAAAGCTATTCCCATATTTAGCTTGGGTTTTACAAGCAGAATCAAGGTATCCCCAAATAAACATTCCAGAAGGCTGACAGGCCACATGTTATGGCACGCAGTAAAATGAAAGGAAATCTCTGTTCCCTCAAAGGTAGACACAGTATTATGGAGCTCTAATTAGCACTTGTCTATATGATTTATAGTGTAAAAATTTACAAGTTTCTACACAATGACACCATGAGACGCTTGACAGCAGTTGACTCACTCAGAGCTTTAAAAATACCTTTCAAAGCAAATAAAACTCTTTCATAACATTAGTAGGTTAATCTGAAGTTAATTGAAGTGGGCTTTGTCAGCAGCAATAGCATCCTTTGTACTTGTGACCTCCACCACCAAGGAATTTCAGCACTTTGTAACTGCTGGCACATTTCTCCTCAAAAGAGAAGCAAAACAGGGAGATTTCCTTCTCCCCATGGCATTAACAGAAAACAATGGCACAGAGAGCTTTGGTGACACAGCCAAGGTCACACGCACAGCCCGTGGTGAAGGAGGACCCTGAACTCAGGCCACAGTGGGTTTCACTGCTCTCCAAGGTGTCTGCACCCCAGAGCAGAGCTGCCCTCGAGCCCACTGCTGCTCCTCAGCCTGGGGTCTGTGTGCCAGTTTTTAGTGGTGGGGGGCTACAGGGCTGCCTCCCGTCAGAAGCTGCTGGAAGCTCCCCCCTTGCGTGCTGGAGCCAATCCTGGGCAGCTCCTGGATGGATCCACTGCTGGCCAAGGCCCAGGACATCAGCACTGCTGGGATAAAGTGGTTGGGAAGGGACAAAGTTACTGCACAGGAGCAGCTGGAGAGAGGAGTGAGACTATGCCAAGGAACAGTTGTGCAGACACCAGGTCAGTGAAGGATGGGCAGAGATGGCCCTGGGGAACCAGAGATCCATCTGCAGCCCATGGAGCACTCCTTGGCCACGGGCAAAATACAGAACATCTGGTAGTTTTAAACTTTCCTTTAAATATATTAATGACCTAAGGAAACTTAATGGCAGAGATGATTTTGCTGCATAATCAGAGGTGTCCAAATTTCATTCACTACAAAGCATGCATCAATGAAACCAAACCAGCAAATGACTAAAGCAAGTGGGTACACATCTCATGTGATATATCCAAGAACACGCTGGGCAGCAGGGCTCAGTCACAGCTGCAGCAGCAGCACAGGAACTCCCCCAGCAGAGCAGTGCCAGAGACACCAGACCTGTACTGGCAGAAGCAGACCTCCCGTCCGGGGGCTGCTGGGCACAGCCCCCTGCCAAATCCCCTCCCAGCCAGACCCTGCTGTTTCCATGGCTGCTGAGCAACACAACTCTTTGGCTGTGAAAGGAAATGAGTCACTTGGGGCTAGTAAAGCCACTGCCACGAGACTGCCCGAGCCCCAGACCCTGGGTGGCAACAGGACCTCCTGGGCACCACTGTCACGTCCCCTGCACGACAAACTCCAGCATTTACTCTCCCACAAAATCTTTTAAGTTATGCAGGGTGTATCCTGTGTGCCCCAGACACACGAGGGCTCGAGTCTGCAAGGCACACGTGAGCCATGAGAGACGAGCCACCCGTTTGCAATCCTGCTCCCAGCGCTGTCCGTGCTGTGGTTTGGGGAGGCAGAGCAGCCCGGCCCCAGCACCCGGGATAAGAGAGCTGGGGGACACAAGACACGGAGCACGAGCTGAAGGACAAGGTGCAAGCTCTGCTTGCACACTCCTCACCTATTTCCCTATTTTTGCTGCAGTGGATGCACGGGAGAGCTGCTGATGGGGAATGACTCACAGCTGAACTGTGTCTGGGCCCAGCCCTGCCTGCTGGTGCCCTGGGGAAAAAGGGCCAGGGCAGAAGGGCAAACAGAAGGTCCTTCTGGAGGGGGCCCAGGCAGGGGATGCCACAGAGGAAACCCTGAGGTTGTTGTTAGAACCCCAGCCCAAGCAGCCATCAGCTGGAGCCAGGGGAAGACCTGCCTGGAATGAGTCACATGAATGCCAAAAAATGCTCTCACTTCCACACCACAACATCACAATACTTAACAAGTATCACCTCAGTCTGTGCCTCACTCCTTAATAACATCACTTCATAGTTATCAGTGGTGCAAAGACAGTTTACAGGTATTTACTGGGACCAAGCTAAATAACCCAGGAGGAATCAGCTTTGGGGCAGACACAGGCCACAGAGCAAAGAAGAAAACAAAAAATATTGCCTGTCCACCCTTCCTCTGAGCATCAAGTCTGAGTGATCCCTCTGAGCATCACACCCTGTTCACTGAGCCAGGCAGGAATCTTTAAGTGAGCGTGTAATTAAAAATGACATCACCACATACATATTTGAGCAGCCACAACCAAGACTGAAAGGCAGCCTTAGTTCTGACATTTGCTACCCAGAGCTGGGCTTGGCTTTACAACCTTACGGGAAGAGAAGGCAACTTAATTGCTGAGCTCTCCCCAGATACAGCTGCTCTGATTCAGCATGAATCCAGCATGAATCAGAGCCATAAAAGAGTCACACAGGATTTCAGAGTTCTTTGGCAAGTGTGAGGTCTCCAGAGAGCTGGCGAGTCACACCGCAGCGATTCCTGCCGCACGGAAATCTCACAGCAATGAGTGTTCATGCCTCAGGAACTGCTCCCTGGGAGCTCTGCAGGGCCATCATGGCAAGGGGGTGCCCAAAGGGAAGGACACAGATTTGAGCTTTATGCACTTCAAGGAAAAGAAAATGATCATGGCAGATAACTGGTAATTTTACAAGAGATGACCCTGTCACACAGCATTGCTGCTTTCCTAACATGTGTTACCCCTGTTCTAAAGCTCAGGGTGTAACATGAAGGACCATCACCTCAGCTACCACAGAAGGTACCAATTCAGCTCCCTCCCTGACACATTCTCAGGAAATTCATTCAACAGAAAGAGAATCACATACATTCATATAAAATATTATGCCAATACGACCATAAATGCTTTATATAAATAAACTTCCCTTAAGCAAGGCAGAATAAAGACCAGATTCATCCTTCTGGTCAGTCTGGAAAGATGCACCAGGCCATTAAGGCAACCCCATCTCCTCCTCATTTGCAGGGGCCTGGAGCACTCATGGTCTGCTGCCACATCCTGCTGGGACCCAAACCTCACATGAACTTTGTCACTTGTGATCACACACAAACACATCACCACTGTGTTTGCTGTCCACCAAGATTCCTAGAAAGTGGCCAGATCTGTCCTAGGCACACACAGAATTTGCCAAATGATGTCCATGCTGGAGCACGGCAGCTGCAGAGTCAGCAGATGTCCTGTGCCCCCTGACAGCACCAGGAGTCTCTGGGGTTTCCTCCTCCCACCCCCCAATAAATACCCTGCAAAACCCTCTCAGTGTAGCAATGGAGACTTCCCTGGCAGTAACCAACCTGTTTTTCTAAGAACCCTTCATTTAACACAAGAAAGCCTAAATAAAGTGAGAGGCAATTAAAAAGTAATCAGCTTGTCTAAAGTACTTTCAGTTATGCATTTTAATTTAGCCTTCACTATAGTTCAAGATGACTCTCAAATAGCAGCTTCATTTGAAACATAAATATAGTAATATCTCAGTAACTGCTTCCCTTGCAGCTTGCCTAACCTCACAGAAATACTCCCAGAAATGAAACTGAAAACCGATTTCAGAGCAAAAGGAAATAGTCACTACTAATCACAACAGCAAACCAGTGAAAGCTAAATCATAACTGTATTGGCTAGGTGAGCTCTCCAGTGACAGGTCTGAACAGTCCTTCTCAAAGAACACCTTTCAGCAACGGGTATTTATTTGAGAAGCCTCAACCCCACCCACGAGTTCACCAGCCACAAAACGTTAAGGAAATAATTTCATGGCAACCAGAGAGGAGAACTGAACCAGACTGTACTCATGGAGCTCAGAGCTGCAGTTACGAAGCTGTGTGACCTTGTGACATCCTCTTCAGCCTTCACCCAAACCAGGACCTTCTGTTCTCCTTGTCAGAACCCTCCCTGGCACCTCACAACCCAGCTGTTTGTACACCTGAGTCGCAAGGCACAGCCACACTCAAGTGGGGACAAAAGGAGTCTGACCTGGGCAGAATCTCACTAAAGGAAGAACAGAATTATCCTGAATGACAGTTACCTGCCAGCCTGGACTTTTAAAGATCTTAAAGCACGCTCAGATTTACCTTTTCATGCAGCACTACTAAAGATACAGATACACAGCTGAATGTGTCTTGCAACAACTTTAAGAGTGATCTTATCAGGCTGAGATTTTTCTCGTCTTACTCACGGACTACACTTTTCATCTCCATTTTCCTCAGTTACATAGCCAAAGCAATTTCACATCCAGACACCTTGTGAAGCTGAGAACAGCACTGTGAAACCAGGCAGGCCACGTGCCTCTGGGGGGAGATCCTCCCCTCCAGTCCTTCTGATCAGTGGCAGTAGAACGAAAAACACACCTCAAAAACTTCAACAACCTGTTCCTCTCTCCTTTCCAAAGTGAGACCCAATTACAGGCATTTCTCTTCAGGACTAAAGCACAGACACAGGGCACAGCACACCTCAGCAACGCACCCAGAAAATGGGGCTCCAAGGAGAGGAACTGTCTTTTACTGAAGGTTTTTCCACATCTTCACTGTAACAAGCAACTTAAACTGGCCTTTCTGGACAATTTAAACTCTGCTTTCTATACTAGTTCCTGATTTACTGTAACTCAAGTGAGCTGAAATCCAACAGCTTTAAACACCTCTGTTGCTCAATACATTAAAGTGCTTTCTGTTGCTTGTTTCTGGGTATCTGATATTCAGCCTTAATTACATCCTTTCCAGTCTGTGTGTCATGCCTTTGCATTGACTGCAGATAATGAATTGGACAGCCTATCCCTGCAGCACTGAGACTGTCAAAAATACACAAGCCATTCCTTGTCACAATGGTATA